GGGGGTTGCGGAGGTTTTGGAGGGGTTACAAGTGGGCTGGGGGTTAGGAGTGGTTGAATGTGGTTGAGAAAGTGGTCGACGGGTGCTGCAGCAGTGCTAACCAGGGGCGCGAGCCCAACTTTCTCATGGGATCTACTGACAATGTTCCTATACTGTCCATGTTACAAATTTGTCTGCCTTCTGTCCACCAGACCAAATCTCATTCTTGACCCTGAAGGTTCCAACTTTCGCAGGGATGACCTCAGACTGTCTCATTGGAAATAAGTTAGTGCCAGTCTTCCGCTGACCTAAAAATCCGTGCCAGACTTGGTGGCCGAAAACAATTTTGGCCATTGCACACAACAAAAAACACTCACAGCAAACTGGCCATTGTCTTAGAACAGCTCTGCAAAACATTCTTGGATTCTTTGCTGCTGCTCTTGTCATGTCTTTCTGGATTGTAGCAATTCCAACATGCAAAGCATTCATACAGCATTTCTTAACCTTGCAAAGCATTCATACAGCATATTTCTTAAAGTGACTTCTGGATAATGATGTGCAAGCCACCTTGCTAACAGATGCTGAAATCACATTGGCAAGCAGGTCAACCATTTGAAGGAAGAGGCAGAGAAAGAGACTGGTGGGGATGGGATCAATCACTACATGGTTAAAGCAAACTTGGCAATGCTTCAGCGCCAGTGGAAGGCAAGTCACATACTCCACCTCCCAGTTCTCCACAGGAATGCTTTTTGCAAATTTAGAAGCAAGCCCGGCGGCACTTGGTTTAGGCGCAGTGGAAATAGCGTTGCCCACCCCCTTCGCAGAAGCGACCAGTGAGCAAGATCCCACAACATTGGCAAGGGGAAGGCTCAATATGAGGGACGCTATGTCTTTGTCTTTCCCTATCAGCAGTTCCTGTTTGCCACTGCTGTCTCTCTCATTCTTCTACTTGACAAAGATGACATTTGCCTAATTAATTGTCAGACATATCAGCTGCAATAACTACTTATCAATTTTCTGTGTCTCCTTTGCTTATATTTGCGAGGCACAAGGCCTCGGTAAGCCCTACTGGGCCCCTATTTGCAACAGTGTCGGCCGGCTTAAGTGAAGGCAGGCTCGACAGACGACAAGAGGCCTATTTTGGACTACTTTGCAACTGGGGGAAAATTCAGACAGTTGCGTAGCGCCAGTTGGTTGAAAGCGCCCAGGCCCTGGCCTCCTTTATCAAATGCATCTGAGTCAGGCCCTGGGCGAGATACGCAGCATGGACCCAACTCAGGATGCGGGCAGTTGGGCACGGGTAACTGTCACAGGCCTTGGGCCTGATCCGTTTGGTCTGGGGCTCAGCCTCTCTGAGCCTACCGGAAGCTTCTGGGCAGGGGCCCAGCGCAGCCAGGCTGCACGCAAGGCAGGCAGGCCACTTCCATTTAGGAAAGGGCCTGCACACGCATTCGGCATTCGGGCACTGGCTGCATGCTGCGCTAACGCTGGCCAGGCTCACGCGCTCACGGGCGAGCTGGAAGGAGCAGGCAGCCATAGCCGAGCTGCACTGTTGTATGCGGGATGGGGCGCATGGTGGTCCTTGGGCGCAAGTGGCATCTGTGAGTTGGGG